TGGAGAAGGAGGGACAATCTCCTCTTGTACCAGTCAGATCCAATTAGACTGTACACACAAAAAAATAATAAAATAATTTTTTTTTAAAAAAAACCTATGTCTGGATTGTGAGAACGGCACAGGATCGGCAGGGTCGCTGTGAGTATTGACTGGTAAAAAGACACTGGGTAGGGGTGTGCTTCAGAAGGGTCAGCGGGTCTTCTCTTCCCAGGGTGGTCAGGGAAGGCTTCTCAGAGGCGGTAACATTTTTGCAGAGACCTGAGATGTTGGAGATGCTGGAAATCCCAAAGGCAGAAGCTTAGTGGGGGGTTGGGGATGGCAGGTTAAAGGGAATGGGGGCCGTGTCCCAGGCTTTGGGGCCATGGAGGTGACCGAGGAGGGGTCCAGACCGGGACCTGACACCTCAGTGTCCCTCATCTCGCGCCCAGGTGAGATGCTGCGAGGCCGCAGGGCGGTGGGAAGCAGGCGCTGGAGCGGTTCCCGCGCTCCATCCACCCCGCAAGCTGGAGCGCTAAGGGGCGCGCTCGCCCTCTGGCGGCAGCCCTCGGCACTGCGCGGCGGCCCGTCCAGGACCTGAGTCTTTCAAGTTCCAGTCTGGGATGCAGGGGCGCCTTCTGCTCACTCCCTCCACATCGGAAGCCCCCATGGTCCCCTAACTCGTCCTCGTGCGATCTCTCATGCCCAACGGGAGATTGGCCGTTTCAGCTTCTAAGAATCCCAAACCTTTGAGCCTCCTGGATGTTCACTCTCTTTGATCTTTGTCTCATCTGATAAGACAGCCAAGTTGAAGCTACTTCAAAATCGGCCTTGAATCCTCCATTTCTCGCCTTCTGTCCTTCTCCATCTGATCCTACCCCCATGATCTCCCACCTGGACCAGCTCTGACAACCCCTGCGTGATCTCCCAGCTCCACGCTCACCCTCTTATTCCGTTTTCCTCCATCATCTTTTAGTCCCTGACTCAAGTGAAGGTCTTCCTCCATTCAGCGCCTTCAAGGGCACCCACATCACTCGGAACAAATGCCCTAGTCCTCCCCCAAGGCCTTCACAGCCTGCCCACCCCTCCTTACCCTCATTTCCCCTCACACACCTGGCTCCAACTACACCTATTCCTGGCTCTTGTCTAAACTCACCAAGCACGAAAATACTATGTTGTTATGTGCTGTTGAGTCGCTTGCGACTCATAGCGACCCTATGTACAAGAGCCCTAAACCCTGCTCTATCCTGTGCCAACCTCGAAGTCTCTGACACACCTACTCCCATTACCCCAATCACTGAATCAATCCATCTCATCGGAGTCTTCCTCTCTTGTTCTGTCCCTCCACCCTCCAAAAACATGATGTCCCTCTCCAAGAACTTGTCCCTCCTTGCAATATGCCCGAAGTACATCAGGTGAAGCCTCAAAATCCTTGCCTCCAAGGAGCAGCCAGGTTTCACCCTCTCCAGGACAAATCCGTTTGTTCTCCTAGCAGTTCATGGTATATTCAATACTCTTGTCCAGCACCACAGCTCAAAGGCATCAATTCTTTATCTATCTATCATTCCTAGTCATTGTCTAGCTCGCAGATATATAGCACACAATTGCAAAGACTTTGGCCTGGATCAGGCGCATCTTAGTCTCCAACCTGATGTTGTTGCTCTTCAGTACTCTGGAGAGGTCCCTGATAGCTGACTTTCCCAATGCAATTCATTTCTTGATTTCCTGGCTACTGTTACCAAGAGTGCTGACTGTGGAGCCAAGCAAACTAGAACTGTTAAGAATCTCAGTATCTCTTCACCATCCATAATGGTGCTGCCAAATGACCCAGTGGTGAGAATCTTTGCTTTATGTTGAGCTTCAATCCATACTGAAAGCTGCAGTCCTTGATCTTCTGCAGCAAGCACTTCTATGCAGCAGAATAAAGGCTGTGACGTTCCAGAAACTGGAAGGATATTTAGAAGAAATATTGTTTTTAAAAATCCAGACAATGAATTTGCTATATTGTTGACATTTTAGGGGAAGCAGGAACAAATACAGGAAGCTACATTTACTTGTATTTGCATATGGAAAAGACTAGAAGGGTTTTCCTTTATTCCCTTCTTGTTGGGTACCATTGAATAGGATCTGGCTGGCACGGGAGGAGATTGCCCCTCCCTCTCCAGTGGAGCATCTGGTGGATTCGAACCTCAAGCCTTCGGGATTGCAGCACAACTTCTTGTCACTAGGACACCAGACCTCCCTAGAGTTTTCCTATTGGGGTTATTGTTGGGTGCTCTGGAGTTGGATCCAATTCTCAACGAACTTAGGTGCAACAGAATGTTACCTGATCCTCTCACAATTTCCCTTTGGGAAGTAACAAGGAAATGATAGATGGAGTTGTTGTGTTGTTAAGTGCCGTGGAGTCATAGATGACTCATAGTAACCCTGTGAACAAAAGACCTGAGCACTATATAAAGTTTCCGGAAGCAAGCCATTTCGAAAGTGGATACCACTCCTGCTTCCAAACTTGTTTTAATCAAGAAGCTCCACCAAACACTGTCCACCATAGGAAAACCATTATTGCATTTGACACATCAGGGTCAAAGTGTTTAGTATCACAACCACCACGAGTTACCACTGCACAGCAATACACAGACCAGTGCTATAACAGAAGAATGTTTGACAAAAAAAAACAATTTAAACCAGGCCTGAGGGCCACAGATTTAAATCACCCACCTTGGGCTTGGTAGCATAACTTTCTGACCACTGGGCCAATGTAGCTCTATGTGGTCGTTGTTACTGTTGTTAAGTGCTGTCAAATCGTAGACGACTCTTAGCGACCCTGTGAAGGAAAGGGGTAGAGGACCTCATTTTATAGTTTAAATTTAGTTTTATCTATTCAAAAGAAAATTTAGGGAGAGAGAAAAAGTGTCCCTTAGGTGCATCTGATTCAAACCATTATCTTTCTAATAATTTGTTATACATCTGAGAGCTGGACAATGACTAAGGATGATGGAAGAAGAATTGATGTCTTTGAACCGTGGTGTTGGAGAAGAGTGCTGAATACCCCACGCACTGCCAAAGGAACAGATGTATCTTGGAGAAAGTCCAGCCAGAGCGCTCCTTGGAGGCAAGGACGGCAAAGCTTCATCTCACGTATTTTGACATGTTGTAGTTGTTAGATGCTGTTCAGTCAAGTACAACTCATAGCAACCCTGCGAACAGCAGATCTGATGCCTGTCCTATCCTGTGCTAATCTCACAATTTCTTTTTTCTTATTATTAGTTTTAATGAATGTTTACAGAGACTTAGGGTTTCCATTCATTCATTGTTGCACTTTTCTCCCTGCCCATCCTCTCCCTCTCCAATACACTCTTCCTGAAAAGTAAAAGAAAAACTCTTTTATTGTTATGCAATCCCTTCCCCCAAGTCCACTCCACTGTACAGCCTTCATTCTGGACTCCTGTCATGGCAATAATATCCAATCATATATCCCTTTTAAACAATTCTCTCCCTCATCTTTTTCAATGCAGTATACATCATTCCTCCCCTCCTTCTCTGTCTTCCCTCAACCCCGATGTCAGTCCATTTTACAACAGTGGCCCTATGCAATATTTGTCCTTTTGTGACTTAGATATTTCACTCACTATAATCTCCTCCAGGGTCACCCATTTTGTATAATATTTCAT